AGATTTTTTATGTTTTTGCAAATAATTTTTGTGAACCCTGTATTTGCATTTTTTTTATCAGATGCTTACCCTCTTGTAGTTAAAAACATAAGTATATTATCTGGTTTGTTTGAATTGTTCTTGTATATTGTCAGGAGTAAAGATGAATAGCAATAGGAAAAGCAAAGCTTTTGAATTTAATTCCAGATCAGATTGAAATTCCAAAATCACACGGAAGCCCGATATAAGTTTTAATTCATTCCCATGTGAAAACAGATGATTATTCGAAAATCAAAATTTGGAGAAACTCATAAGTGTAATCGATGGAAAGTGGATTTGATTGTTAAGAATTGGCAAAAAAAGGTTCCCAATTGTCCAGCTTTACATGAACAAATTATGTTGTTGATTTTATAAGATTTTTCCTTAAAGTTGAAATGCCAGTAATTTTTGCAGGACAATGTGTGCATTTACATTCATTTGATATTTTACTTGTGATTAAATGAAATAAAAGAAGAATTGTATTAATAAATCTAATTTTCTTTAGTTTGATCTTTAAAGTCACACCTCGTCCTATATGCAAGGTCGTCTTATACATGAGTAAATACAGTATTTTCTTGACAGGAATTTAATATTTTTGATTTATAAACTATGTAAATTTCTATTAATTAGGATTACAATTAATAATATTTTAAAAACTGAGGCTTCAGAAAGCTTACTGTTTTTGCATTTCCACTTTAAATATTTAAATAGTCACTTAATTAATATTTAAAAACTAATTACAGTTATAATGAGCAATTGTTTATTGTGACATTGTCACAATGCCAGGTTGCAATTTTTACTCAAATTTTTAATAATTTTTAAATTTAAAATATATGCTCTCCACCTCAAATTAGTGTACATCATACTTTTCCATTAGCAATAGTCATGCAGGTCATCTAACTGCTTTCAGGGGAAAATTTTTGAATTGAAATAATGTGATTTCCTGTTTTCACCAGAAGTTTATATATAGTTGGTCAGGGCATCCTGCCTCTAATCTTTCCTTATCTGGTCTTGGCTTTCATCTATATAATTCTGATCTCAAGATTAAGGAAAGACAGACAGCCGACAGTGGGAATTTATAGATCTACAGATTTTTCAAATTGCAGCTCGATTAGATAATAATTATATTAAAATTAAAACTATATCAGTAAATTACCACTTAATATTCTCATTATTGCTTCTTCTTGACCAGATCGGAAAATGGAATGTCCCATTTTATGCAATGCTTGAAAAACACAATTGGGAGTCTCTAAACATTTTAATAATATTAAATCAGCATACTTTATATTAAAAATTTAAATTTATAAGTAAGTATTAATTTATCATACTTATGACTTTTCCGTTGAGAAGATTAAAAACAGGACTAACAGTCTGTTGAGGCATTAATAGATTATTTAATTCAGTACTATCAGTGTCAGTTTTATTCAATATAGATTCAATCTGTATCAATGTTGTTTCTAAGAAGCATTAATCTTTGTTAAAACAAATCAAATTCATTCAAATTAAAGTATGCATGTAGAGTTTTAAGTAACAACATACCTTTAGGCATAATCCGAGTTATTGATGTAGATGTTTTAAACCCTTGAGCTAAGTCTTTTGCTTCTTGTAGTGTGGGAAGAGGTAAATCACCACTTAAGGTCATTTCTTCAAGGAATGTATCTAAAATTTCATTTTAAAAAGATTTCAAATTAAACATATAAATNCTCAAGTCTCCGTAGATATAACAAACACAGAAATAAATAACACAAAATAAATTGTAGCTATGTGTGGATTCCGCGCGACACATCCAAACATGTAAGCTGAACAATAGTGTGGGGGGAGTGAATAATCAAGGGTTGCGTGGCGCTCAAACAAAAGACGAATCAACGAGATTTGAAAATCGCGTAACTACGAGTTCGCATAAGTAGGATATTACTGTAAATAAAAATTAATTAAATGTATCAAATACAAAATTAACAAAATTCAAATTCTGTCAAAACTAAACATTAGACATAAGAATAATCATTCCCATAGTAATTTACATTTATTTTAATATTTAACTGTAAATTTATTAATTTTATATTTAAAATTTTTAACTATTTTTGTATTTTCTGCTAGATAATAAATGTTTTTAGTTTTGTTTCAAAAGTTGTTGGTCTTGTTTTTGTGGACATTATTTTTGAAAAGCTTTTTTCTAAGAATAAATCATTAAATTTATGAATTGTTTTTACAATTACTTTACTAATGTTCAGTTTTGTTTGTATTGTTGATAGCAAATATACAAAAGAAAGAATAAACAGATAATTTTAGCATAAAAAATTAATTCTAATTCTTTTCTAGAAAATATGCTTAACTTAGATAGTGAAATCATACTTCCTTCAGCAGATTTATAAAATAATTATTTTTAAATAATTGAAAAAATTAAATTCTTATTTCTGTGTATAACATATTTAAAACATTTAAACTAACAAAGATGGATTGATTAAAAAATCCAGGATGGTAAATATACTTAAAATTCACAAAAGTAGAAAAAACACTACAAAAATTAATGAGTTGAATACCGAGGCAGATGAGAGCCTAAGATAAAGGTCAACTTTGCCATGAGCTTTTCTTGTGTTCCCAAAATGTGAAAAAGAATAAAATATGAAGATAATTACTTTTTGTAAATTTTAAGTTGAGATGGAAATGAAAATATCTAGACTAAAACAATCTGAAAATATTCNACAATTGGGAGTCTCTAAACATTTTAATAATATTAAATCAGCATACTTTATATTAAAAATTTAAATTTATAAGTAAGTATTAATTTATCATACTTATGACTTTTCCGTTGAGAAGATTAAAAACAGGACTAACAGTCTGTTGAGGCATTAATAGATTATTTAATTCAGTACTATCAGTGTCAGTTTTATTCAATATAGATTCAATCTGTATCAATGTTGTTTCTAAGAAGCATTAATCTTTGTTAAAACAAATCAAATTCATTCAAATTAAAGTATGCATGTAGAGTTTTAAGTAACAACATACCTTTAGGCATAATCCGAGTTATTGATGTAGATGTTTTAAACCCTTGAGCTAAGTCTTTTGCTTCTTGTAGTGTGGGAAGAGGTAAATCACCACTTAAGGTCATTTCTTCAAGAAATGTATCTAAAATTTCATTTTAAAAAGATTTCAAATTAAACATATAAATCAATAAATTACTATAAATATTTAACTTATATTAATATGCAAATTTTATTTTCTACCTTTTCTTTCTGGACAATTTCTTGACCAATGGCCTTTTCTATTGCAATTAAAACATGTTGATGAAGATACAGAATAGTTTCCTTCTTTTTGCTTTTTAATATTTTTCCATTTTACTTTTTTATACTGTTTAATTGAAAAATGTTTATATCCTCTGACAAATTTCTTCTTTTTAATATTGATTTTAATATAATTTTCATTAATTGTACCTGTTGATAATTTTCTGCAATAAAAATATAAAATCCACTTTAAAAGAATTTAATAAATTTGAAGAATGCTTAAATTAATACTTAATTTAAACTTAATAAACCATAAAACAAAATTTTATGAATAAAAACTTAAGAAATGTGTCAACAACAAAATAAAAAAATATAAATCTAAAGTTCTTATAATAATACAGTAATACCCCGAACTTACACGATAGGTGGGACCGAGCGGTAACCGCGTAAGTTGAATTCGCGTAAGTCGGGGTATAATTTCGCATATAAATACATACAATTAATTTTTATTTGGGGCCGGAGACTAAAGATAACAATAATTTAGAAAAAAATGTTTAATAAAATCTTAGATAATACATATGTATAACAAATTAGGCCTATATTATTTTACAATTTTTCACATTTACTTGATTATTACACCATAATTTTAACATTGTTTCCATCTCAGCGATAATACTGTGACGTTTACGA